AATTATTGCTTCACCATTGGCTATTCTTCCTCTTTAAATAGATAGAAAGATGCTAATTAGATATTAAGGCTGTTAAGAATCTAAAAGCACGTGACACGCTCTTCAAAAGCTAAGCAATAGAACCAACCATCCATTTGGCCTACTTGTCTTTGAGTTCCTCCACACCCCCAACCACCATACGCACGTTTCAACCCCTACACTTCCTCTCCTAATTATCAATTTTATTATATGATAGTTAAATATTGAGAAATGAATGTGGCCTGTTTCAGGCTGTGACCATTGGTTTCTTCCCCGCCGTTTCTGAGAAATCTTGGAGCTGCTAACCGCCATCAGCAATGGGTCAAAAGCCGAAGAGAAAAGCTTTAGAGAGATATGAAGAAACTTATCACTTAAAAGGGGAAGACTTTGTTGTCAAGCCTTGGTTACTCCAAACAAACATTAATGACTTGTTCAAAATCATTCATTTGTCAACTCAATCCAATTTCGAACAGAACACGACGATTTCTGCTGCCATCAGCCTTTTGGTGTAAACAAGGTGAATGGAGAAAGCAAGGAGAATACAAGGTTTTGCCATAGAATAATTACTTGGAAACTTAACATTTTCTGGTTTTTTATGTTCAATCTTTTCTGACAGAGTTGACTGACATTTGTAAAAGCAAAAAAAGGTATTGCCGACCCATTTCTAAATGGATGATAATTGGTGGAATTAATACAAAATACAAAGACCTCATCACACGTCTTAATCGAAAGAATATATAGATAAGCCATTAATCAGCCTCAAAGTATGACTAGTAAGGCAACAATACCGGTTGATGGATTTTCTCTAGAATATTGCTAACAAATTATTGCTTAATTCACGTTTTGTCACCAATTCATGGAACATATTGCTGCAAACGGACGTCTCCACTCGAATTGCCAACATGTGGCGGATATTGGCCAATTTGTAGTTTAAAAGGAGTAAGAAAGTTGTTCGACTTTGAAGGAAAGGCAAAGTAAAATCGCCCCAATAAACAGGCAAGTTGACTCATAATTGGAGAATTGGAGTCATTCCACTCTAGTCTACGTAACATCACCCTCGTAAATCCAATTTTTATCTTTCATTTGTATAACCAACAAATAATATCGTGACAAAATCTTTATAAATATCTTCTCTTTTTTTAATTTAAAGAAAGTGAAATTAAATGTATTCAGTTATTTTTTATATAAAAAACATTACAATTTAAAAATAATTAGTAAATAAATTATTAATATTAAAATTTAAAATTTAAAATTGTTAATTTTATATAATTACATAAACTAATTAAACTAAATTTCGAATCAATAAATATTTTCAGCTCTTTAGGTTCATGCATCTATCACCAAACCGAATAGTAAATTTTTTTGTGATTAAGTAGGATAATTGTCATTTCTTTCTTTGTTAACCTTCTAAAAAAGAATGATGATTACTGACGTTCTCCATTGGAAAAGGAATCATTCCTTAGATCCTTTACCCGAATTCATGACGCATAGATGAATTATTTCGTAGAAAATGAATAATAATGAAAACATTTCGGCAGCATCTTACACGAAATTGGACAAGGGTAAAAATTATGCTGCTATTTGACAAATAAAACAATTAATGTTGGTGGTTGATAATCATGTAATTTATTAATAAAATATTAAATTTTAATTTTAATGATTATAATTAAAATTTTGAAAATTTTAAATATAAAAAAATTAAGTTGGTGGATAAATAATTAAAAATAAACAAAGATTCTCCAGTGATAGCCTAATGTAATGTAAAGTAATCATGGAGTAGAATTACATGCCAAGTGGTCCATTTTGTTTGCTCAAGACCGTTGATATCGTAAAGCCTACGAAGAAAAAAATAAAAACAAGAAACTTTCTCCAATCTCAAAAAGGTTGGTTGACCATCTGATTTTCGTTAATGACCTCTTTAAGACACAACCTTTGTTAGCTTGAATGGCTCAGAAAAAAACAGTGGCAGAGTATTTTATTTTCCATTTTCCAGTCTTCCTTCCTGGTTGGAGTGCTTTTAATGAGTCAAGGCTCAATGCATTTGCAGAGGCTTAGGAGGTCGCGTTTGCCAAGGCCTGTGAGTTTATCGAGCCTGTTTTTGGACCCACTGACTTGATGATGGTTGGTATTTGAAGTTATGACTTCGAGTTGAGTTGATCCTTCCATTTCTAATCTTCCTTCTTCCTTCCACCTACTTGTCTAGGTGAGAGTGATGCGATCACAACACATTTATTCTTTCTTTGACTACCAAAAAATTGTAAGTTCTATCCTTCGCATTGCATTATTTCCTTTTTTTTTTTTAGCTGAAACTTTATACATTTATTTATGAAGTGTTAGCATTTAATAAATTATTAATATAATTTTTTAATTTTACAAACAAAATTAAAATATTAATACATGTTTTTTTGTTAATTATTTTTAAAATTTTTTAAATATATTTTAAGAGGTATGTCTTACCCTACTAATTCAGTTTATGAAATTTAAAAATTCTATATCAAATACTTTCTCAGTAATTAACTAAAACTATGCTTAATAGGAGCAAAGAAAAATAGAGGAAGGTAAAAAAATGAAAGATAAAAAGGAAAACAGTTCTTTTTGTTTTATTTTTTGTGTTTGTATGAAATATAACAAATATATATAGATAAAGAAGAGTATCTTCTTCCTACTATTAAATTTATCCGTTTCTTTGGCTCAGTAAAAAGGGTATTTGACTTAGCTATTTGATGCATAATTCTTTGCATCAAATCAAAAAGCAAAAATGATCAATATAAAAGTAAATTGATGAGTGGATAATGAAAATAAAAAAAAAATGCTTTTTTTTTTTTTTTTTAATTATAGGCCATAGATTTGAAATTACAAAGTAATTAAGTCGTTTATTATATTATAATTAATTCAATTAAGGTAAACCACTTGACTTTTATTAGTATTTATATGTTGTTAGTGTCTTAGACATTTCAAAAGTTGTTTTGGATGAATTAACATGTGTTGCATTTAAAGTTCAAATTGACAAGTTCTTGTTTTAGAAAGTCATGAACTGACCTTCGCCATGGGAATAAATGACATCCCAGCTGAGTAGGGAAGGGCATTAAGAAGTTGATAGCTCCAATTCTCCATTTTTTTTTCCTGCTTTTGGGAAAGAGAAGAGTTAATAACATTAATGATTTCTAAACGTTGTTGAGATATAGTAATTATCTTAGTTCATATTTTCTAAAGTCACTTGTTATTCTTAATATATTTTAAGTTATAGATTTTGATCCTTCCATCAATTTTCATGTCAATTTAGGTATCAAGTATTGTGAAGTTAAGTGACATAAACGAAATTAAACTAATAATTTTAAACATATTATAGTCATACGATATTATAATAATATAAAAAATATGCAATTGATGCGATTTATAAATTTAATAAAATATATATTTTATTTTAATATATTGATATAAATTATAATATAATAATTTTATATTTTATATATATTTAAAATATAAATATATACAAATATATAAATTAACATATAAATATAAAATGATGACATCAAAGTTCTTATATTAAAAAGTCTTTGTTTTCTCTCTCCTTTCTTCTCTCTAAACATTTTTCTCCTACATCGCTTTCAAGCCAGCCATCATCTATTTCGGATTTCGACGGGTGGCAGACATCAATTGTTGCTAGTGGGCATTGAAATTTCACTTAATTTCAACCAAATATCCTTGGTTGCTTGTTTGCAAATGCTGTATGTCAAGTAAAACATAAGCTTTGGAATGAAAAGTTTAATACTGTCACAAGGATGAAGGAACAATAACAGCTTTATTTTTAGTTTACGTTTTGTCCTAGAAGACTGCCCATTTTTTTGTCTTAAGGTCTAGGAGGTTAATTGGGATTTTTGTTGCATTATTTACCATAATAATCCTTTTTTTTTTTTGTCACTGTGTTTAACTTTACAGAAGAAATCAAGAGCTGCAAATAAGCTTCCTATTAACCCAAATCCCATCTGTTTGTAAGGAAGTTAAAGAAGTTGAGGTGGAGTAAGTATCAACCGATGGTTTTGCTCCACGTTTTGGTATTCTTTTCCATTCTCTATCGGCTAGGAGAGAAAAAATTTTTTTAAAACCAAATAGTTAAAATTTTGTCACATCATTACCTGACACGTTTCTTTTTCGTGCGTTGTCTGACATAAACAAAATATTGACAAAATAAATTTAGTTATAAATTGTTATTAAAAGTATAAAGATCAATAAATAATTTTAAAAATATAAGGATCAAAATGAAAAGCAAAAGAATAATAATCTTGAAGAGGAATATTATTTTTTATAATTAGATAATATAGGTAAGTAGCTCATAAATTTTCTTTTTCTTTTTTGTTATATTGAAAAAATAAAATTTTAATATAAATAAAAAATTTTAATTTAAAATCATATCTTTAACACCTATTCAAACGCTTGAAGACAAAAGTTTTAATGATTAAAGAATGCGGGTCTTTAGTAGAAGGAAGGGCCGCCCAAATAACCATACACCCTCATGGTAGGACCCACACTCGTTTTCTAAGTTCTAATGAATAAATATAAATTTTAATTAATTTCATCAATTAAATTTACAATGTTTTTGGTCTTAGGCTCATTAAAGACCCGGCTAATCCAACGCGTGAAAACCACGTGTCAAAAAAGGAAAAAACTGGAACTAGTAAACTCGTCAAGCAAACCAACAATCGACACGACACAAACGCACAAACAAAAGAACAAGGGAAAGAGGGGAGGGATTTTGCCTTTCTGAGCCAGTCAATTCCAACGCGTGGCTGACCCGGCCCAATAACCCATTTAATTTCACATTCCCTAAACTACCCTCATCCGAAGACATGATTTCATTGGATAATTTTAAATATGATTAGATAATATAATATAAAAATATATTAAATATATATAAAAAATATATTATTTAAATATATATTTTTATGAATACATAAATGATGAGATCTCGTAAAACTTACACACGAAGAAAAATTCCAAGGGCGGAAGAGTAAACGCGGAGATATTTAGAAGAAACTAATTTAAAAGGCAAGATGGAATTCGGAAGGTGGGACAGAAGACAAGAGAAACGGCTGTCAATAAAAAAAAGCTTTTTTGTTTTTTAATTTTTAATCTTCTATTGGGGTGTTAGTTTTGCAACTGCCATCCATTAACAGAGAGGCACCGCTTTTTTTTTTTTTTCACCCTTTTATTATTAATTAATTAATTTTTTTATTAAACGAACTTTTCAAGCTCGAAATTTCCGTTAATTGTTCTTAAGAGAGTCTCTCCCCTTTGGGCCTTTTGAGTTTTCCATTTTAAAGAGAGAATTTGTAGGTAACTGTTGGAAGAGGAAAGAGGTAGCCGGAGATCGAGAGAATATTTCTGGAAGCTGATCTCTCTAGGTTTTTCAGCACTAAGCTAAAAGATTTTTTTTTCTCTTTGTTGGGTATTCTTATTTTTCTAGAAAAAATGTGGTGGATGATGAATGAAGCAGGAGGGCATTATTGTTCTAAAAAATCTGATGACATCTGTGGAGATGTTTGTGGCCAGGTACTTTACTATTTCGTTCTCTTTTCCTTTGTTTTTATGTTCTTATTTCTGGGTTTTAAATCTTTCATGGGAATGTGAGGAAAGTTAATGGGGTTGAAATTTTTTGGATCTTAGGTAAATTTTTTTATCAAGTTAGCTGCTAGGTATTGCCCGTTAATCTTAGTTTTTTTTGTGCTTTGGATTAAGTTTAGAACAAATGTCTTTGCTTTTGATTTGGGGATTGAGAGTGTGGCAGTTGATTTGTTATCCATCTGATATTCTTTAGATATAACTATTTGGTTCAGTTTTTTTGTTACCATTAACCAAAAGCTTTAAAATTGGATGCCAAAGACGTGAAAAAGCCCTTTCCCCAATAAAAGATGTAAAAAAGCTAATAAGTAATTTGGGAACTTGATTTACAAAACTTTTGGCTTGCTTTTAACCGCTGGAAGAAACTGGCTGGAAAGTTATTGGTCGATACTTTTGAAAGGAAGCTACTTCTTAAGTTAATGTTGTTTTCCTTCGTAGCCTCTATCATACTTTGCTAAGAATCTTAAAGGGCATTACAATTGGCATATGAGCTGCATATATTCCATTACTTTTTCTAAACTTCCTCTTCTGAATTATGATGCTTCATGGGGTAGGGATGATTAGTTTCCCTGCTAGATTTATAATTTTCTTTGATATTTGTAGAGTGCCTTGTTTTGAAATATTGCTTTGATTCGTATATCCTAACAGATTTGATTAGTATTAATACAGTATTTTCTTTATGCTACAGGAATCAAGCCGGCTGAGCATGTCAAGAATCCGCTGTATACTGCGTGGCATTGATTTGCGAACATATATTTTTCTATTTGTACTGGTTCCAACATGCATATTCGGTATATATGTTCATGGGCAGAAGATTTCATACTTCCTGCGACCACTATGGGAATCGCCACCCAAACCTTTCCATGATATCCCACATTATTATCATGAGAATGTGTCAATGGAGAAGCTCTGCAAACTTCATGGTTGGGGAATTCGTGAATTTCCAAGAAGGGTATATGATGCTGTTTTGTTTAGTAACGAAGTGGATATTCTTACCATACGGTGGCAAGAGTTGTACCCTTACATTACACAATTTGTTCTTCTTGAGTCTAATTCAACATTTACGGGAATTCCAAAGCCTATGGTTTTTGCTCACCATCGAGATCAATTCAAATTTGTTGAGCCCCGATTGACTTATGGGACAATTGGAGGAAGGTTTAAGAAAGGAGAAAATCCATTTGTTGAGGAGGCTCTTCAGCGAGTAGCATTAGACCAGCTTCTCAAAATAGCAGGAATTACTGATGATGATTTGTTGATAATGTCAGATGTTGACGAGATACCAAGCAGACATACTATCAACCTCCTGAGGTGGTGTGATGACATACCTCAAGTTCTTCATCTTCGGCTGAAGAATTATCTTTATTCTTTTGAGTTTCTCGTGGATAATAACAGCTGGAGGGCATCAGTCCATAGGTATCAGACTGGTAAAACAAGGTATGCACATTATCGCCAGACTGATGAGATTTTGGCCGATGCAGGGTGGCACTGCAGTTTTTGCTTCCGCCGCATCAGCGAGTTCATATTTAAGATGAAAGCTTACAGCCATAATGATAGAGTGAGGTTCTCTCATTATTTGAACCCAGAAAGAGTTCAGAGAGTAATTTGCAAGGGTGCTGATTTATTTGACATGCTTCCTGAGGAGTACACATTCAAGGAAATAATCAGGAAAATGGGACCTATTCCTCATTCCTTCTCAGCTGTTCATCTTCCTTCTTATCTTCTAGAGAATGCAGATAAATATAAATTTCTTTTACCTGGAAATTGTTTGAGAGAAAGCGGGTGACTTCGAATAACTTAAGATGTTTGTATCTGTCAGAGGTGCTACTGGTGTGACTCCCCACGAAGGGTTCAACTGAACAATTAATGACTGCGGTGCCTCACTGAGCAGCCTCATCTTTTATCCAGCTAAAAATTTTTCTAGTTCCTTGAGAAAATGATTGGAGAGTTGGATAAATGCTTGGAAATTCTAGGTTTGTATATAACTTTTTCTTAACTTGAGTTTTACTTGGTGGAGGATATTTCATTACTGAGCGAGGAACTTCCTGTATGAGAAAAAGCTGTTGACGGGTGCATGTGTAGTACTTGGATTATCTAATACATTAGTATGAAGTTCCTGTTATTTCCCTATGTTGGGAAGTTTTGTTTTAAGACAATTTATTTATACATGTTCTATTGAATTTCTTACTTTGTTCCCCATGATTGGTTTTTAGAATTTTTTGTTAATGAATGATTGCTTCGTTAGGTTTTCACCAAGTATGTTTCGTAGAGCATGCATGATTAAATTCGGAAGCTTATTTCATTAGGTTTTCATCAAGAGGACAATGGTCAGCATCCCCGAGATCTCAAAATTCATAAACTTGCTGAATGATGGAATAAGATGTAACAATAATAGATAAAGAACGCCTTCCATCAACCATAAGTGCAAATAGCACTCAGCTACTTTGTTAGCAAAATCAATTTTAAAAAAGAGTGGATAGAATCCAATCTGCCAAGCAATTGGAATTAGAAAAGGAGTCACCTTGGCAATTCTAAACAAAGCTGGAGTCGAAAAGGTTGTGGGACTGATCCCTTGCAGTCAACACAAATCTCACAGCAAACATTAGATTGGGATGATGTTCATGTGACAAAGGAGATATTTTATTCGAAAGCTTGTTATGGACAATGGGTTTTCCATATAATATTCTAATTTAAACCAGAGGAAGAGTAAGACTCAAATCATCCAACAATGTTGTAGCTTGAATTAAGGTTAAAATCCCAATTTGAGTTGCTCCACAGGGTATAGTCTTCACTTCTTCACCACCATTTTTAAAGTCTTTACCACACTGTGTTTTACTACAATTCTTTGATACAGCATTAAATACTTGCTGATGTACCACTTGGCTTTATATAGTTTCGGCTGAATATCGCAATTTCGAAGAATAGTCCATTAGGTGCGTGGTCTGCCTCAACACCCTGGTTTCCATGTAAATATCCAACTCAAATAGTGATGCTTTAAACCTAGTCCTAGTAATGGATGTCACGTTGATCTTGTTCATATTAATCACAGAACCCTGCTCTTAAAACTGTCTAGGAACTTTGTGTAAGCGTAATTCTAAATCCCAAGAATCATATATAAATATTAGAATAGCAAATTCAATTCTATTGCAAACCTGTTTAGGCAGATAGAGAAGATAAGTGGAAGCAACATGAATTTTTAAAGAGATTAGGTATTTCTCTTCGCTCTTCTCTTACTAATAGATACCGTGTCATGCTCTGAGATTGAGACACAATACGTCATATTATCTTGAAGAAAAATCTCAAAACAATACGAAGCTTTCTTTTTTAATCATTCTAAAATTCTTCAATAAACGATGATAAATCTTTATATATCCAAATACAAATTAATAAAAATACAAAACAATTTCATCAGATCTCATTGGCTAACATTGTCTCCAATGACTAATTAATCTTTCTCATTTTGATTTTCTAACTTCTCACAAGACTAAAAAAAATTTATCACTTACTCATCTGTAAAGAAAAAGTAAAAGGGAATGAGAAACTATAACTCAGCAGGTATAACTCACACATCTTACTATATCAAACATCATTTTCATACATACCATATAGATCATTCAAAACATTCATCAAATCATAATATCAAAATATTTCAAAATTCATCATTATGTTAAATATATTCATAGATCATAAATCAATATCAAAACATGTCAATTCATAAATCATTACAAAATATACTACCATTCAAATATCGTAATCAAACCAAATCATTTATTAATCTTTAAAAATCATCATAAATCATTATTATCATTTGTTCATCGTTAGCTACAGTCACTATTATATCTCATGACATTAGTTATATCGATAATTTCATCATTATAATCATTACTAACTATTATAACCCACTAGCTACAGCTTAATGCTAACTACTAGAACCCGTTAGTAAGACCATATGATCATGGCTATACTAACTACTATAAGCCGTTAGCTAAGGTCATAGAATTAGTTCTGGTATTAATGATCCCATTTCCCAATGATATAATTTCGTAACTATCATAAAATTGTTATTTAAGCATAAATTAATTTTTCATTTTATTCATAAGCATGATCTATCATTTATATAGCAAAACACTAAATAATCATATGCTTGACCTTATTTTCATATATCGAAAATAAAAAAAATAAACTTTCACTTATTTAGAAACATACACGCACACACACACATATATATACATAAGTTCAAAAACAAGCAAAATGTGTGAGATTTTACTTACTTTATTTCAATTCCATCTCTTAGTTTTTCCCTAAAATAATTAATGACCTATTCAAGATTATTTCAATATATCATAAATTAATCAACCATTTTTTAGACCATTTATACTAAAAACAACTAAGTTATTCAAGAATTAACTCAACTAACTAATTTTGGCAACCTATGCTACTTTCACTAAAACAATCATATCTCAAGATATACAACTCGGAGTTAAGATCTTTTTAATGCATTAGAAACTAGACTTGATAAGCTTTCTAACCATATTTGAACCACCTTTTAATTCCTTGTATATTAATTGTAATAAATTTTGAAATCCACATTATATGTTGCTATTGAACAACATGTATATTTTCTAATAAAAATTATATATTTATTCATAGGAAACTTGAAATTCCATTCCACTTGTTTTGTTGGAAAATAGACTCAATAACCTTTTTAAACATGTATGGCTCAATTCATAATTCGTTATATAAAAATTAAAAGGTATTTTGTAATTCCTCTATGCTACTGCTGCTAGACAACCTACACATCCTTAAATAAAAAGTAGACAATCCTTCATAGAAAACTTGAAATCAATTTTCATTTATTTGATTGAAAAGTAGAACAAGCTTTCCAATCATATATAACAAACATAGCAATATTTTATCCTTTAGTACATAATATTATTTTAATTTACCACTGCAAACACCATGGTTTATATGAAATAGAAGCAGAAATGAGATGAAGGTAGCAATCTTCTGGAATTGATGATGAGTTAAGAGAGAACATTGATGATATTGATAATTTAATTTCTCAAAATGAGATAATATTAGAGAATCATGATATTTCGAGTGAGGAGTACATTGATCTCATGAAAATCCTCTAGAGCTCGTTCTAAGAATCCATTTGATCTTCCGAATAGTTCAATGAATAAAAGAGCTAAAAAATCAAAAGATGACAAAGATGGTGAACTTATTCGATAGGGCTTTGAAATGGATGCTAATGCACTTATTGTAGGAAATGCTATTTATGAAAAGTTCAACACTCATGTTGATCAAATTTCAAAAAATAAAATATGAAATCTATTGGAGGAGATAGGAATTGACTCATAACGAATCACTACTGCTTACCTATATTTTATTAATAATCTTAAGAAAGTAAGAGTAGTACTTGGATGCCCATGGGATAAAAGAAAAAAGGTTGTTGAAAGGTTGGTGTTTAGTTCATCTAGTCATTAAAGATGTCAAAATTTTCTTTGCTACATAAGTTTTTAATTCGTTGAAATAAGTTTAATTTTCTTATGATGGAAATATTTATTTTTTATTTTAGTAAAATAAATTTATGTTGCACAACTATATGGTGATATGTTATTACTTTTTTTTTTGGTGCAAAAAGGACATATAATTCACTTGTATGTAATGTTTTTATGTGATTGTATTTTTTATATTTAATAGCTTTTATATGAATACATCGCCAAAGTGATAATGTGCTGAAATTTTGATAATGGCCAACAAATCCATCAATGCATGTTTGTAAAACATCTTTTTGTTTCACTTGATTAAAAAGCACTGATATAGTAGCAATTGTGAGGTTAGACAAGATAGCAAACATATTATGATCCAGGAGCGCTCTAAAATCACAAGCAATGAAAGGTTATAATTGAAAAAAATTATTATAATGAATCATTTCATTTCTTTTTCACTCTTTATCCAAACAATGGTTGTTAGGATTCCTTTCCTTTCTTTTCCTTTATTAATTTTAATTATCCAAACAATGGGGTACATGTATCATTTCCTTTCCTTTAAAAAACTTTCTTTTCCTTTCCTTTTTTTTATTGGTATTACATATCATTACTTAAAAGGGAAAAAGACCTTAGCTAATTCATATTAAAATCCTAGAAATCTCCTCATCAAAGGTTTACCGGGTCAAAGGCCTATACAGCTATCAAATCATACTAACCCAATAAGATATGCAAAACCCACATATAAGTGATCACAATTAACTATTTAGGCTCTTAAGCTTATCTTATATTAGGACTAAATTTATTAGCTTGTTTTATTAAACTATAAAATCATCAATTAATAGTAGCCCACTTGTTGGAAAATTCTAACATTCTCTTTCTTGGATAATATAAATTGGGTTGTTTGATTTTAAGAAAACATAATTTAGAAAATAAGACTCCGTGCTGATTACCTTTACTTTAACGTAGCCATAATTTTTTTAGAAAACAATTTAGCTTTTAAGATAACATATTAATAATTTTGTCCAATAAAACCATTTAATACTAGATCATGACAGTTATTATGCCCTTTATTGACATAAGACCAATCTATGATTACAAATACTACAGACTTTATCTACAATGGATCCCAATGTGACTGTGTAACAAGAAAATAATACCTAAATGTGATCTCAATGTATTTTTTTTATTGCCAATCCTCTTGCTAATTTCTTTAAACTTGCTAAGAAATCTCCATGGCATCCAGATGTGCCTGTACATCTATTCTTTGTCCTTGAGATTACTTACTGGTATCATTTATGAGACATACCCAAATGACATTAAAGTCATCCTTAAGATAGATACCAAATCTTAAGATTTTATAATATGATATGTCAATATAAGATGTGCACATGCAAATAAAAATCATATGTACACATAACAACTATAATGTACATATAAAACAATTGTGTCCACTTAACTATATAATACCTATAGACTTATTTATCTCAAACTTATCTTATAGGTAATTAACAATCACATGTGATGCATTTAACAAAATAAAGAAACCCAAAACAAAAATGGTTTCAAAAGCAAATTTACAATGCATATTGCCATAATCAACCCAATATTTTAATAAGTTCAATTTTTTTATACTTATAGATATTCATATTATGAGTTTGGTAATACCATAATCCTCACATAGAGAAAATATGTCATTATATAATCAAATCACAATGACTCCCATTAATCTAGCAATTACAAACATACTCCAATCAAACTTTGAATAATAAATAAGAAGCACTTTAATAAATGGAGTTATAACAAATTATGTATTGTTTGCCTTTGTACCAAATATGATAACCACTATTGTTCTGGACTTCCATAATATTACTTTAATAAACCACTTACAAATTACTAATATATTATGAACAAATTTCATATTCATGCGTTCATACAAAATAAAATTCTCAATGTTTTAACATGAGATCATTTTGAATAAATTTAGAATTAATT